TCCTATTTGGGTACCATTAAGTGAATGGTTATTAGAGCCCAACATAAATATGTACCCATCCCAGAGTCAGGATACAACTCAAGGGGGAAATGTGAGAGCCAAAGTTACATTTTAAGATATATTTACTATGCCTAAAAGATCAGTGAAACAAAATGCCCCTCTCTGATCTGCAAGCCCCTTGCCCAAGGACAGATAGTGAAATGCTGGACGCTATTGTTTATGAGAGATAACATTGGCAGAGGCAGGTAGATCTCTATGAGTTCAAGGACAGCCTGGTCTACAGAGCTAGTTCCAGGATGGCTAGGGCTATTACACAGAGAAACCATGTGTCGAAATCTACCTCCCAAGAGTGAGAGATAACATCACATGTTTTCACTCCTCTAAACAAGTTTGTTTGACCCATCTGCACTGGATGTGCTATATCACATGTGGGCGGGAGGTTCATAGACAGAAAATATATCAGGAGGTATACTTGCCCCTGATTGGATGTAGGCTAGAGGTACATCAGGATGTATACTTGCTCCTAATTAGACCTGATGGGAAATGCAATTAGTTATCCCCCCCCCCCTTTTTTTTTTTTTTTTTTTTTTTTTTGAGACAGGCTTTCTTTGTAGCTTTGGAGCCTGTCCTGGAGCTAGCTCTTGTAGACCAGGCTGGCCTTGAACTCACAGAGATCCATCTGCCTCTGCCTCCCAAGCGCTGGGATTAAAGGCATGCACACCACCGCCCAGCAATGAGTTATTCTTAAGCTGCTGCAAACTGTGATTTTGAACCATTTCCCAGGAGGACCTGGCCAGTATTTGATCAAAGCTTGCTTCAAATTTGACTTTAAAAACTGTGGTAGTGGTCTTATTTTCAATCAGTGGTATTAACACAGACTTTTTGGACAAGGGCAAAAATCAGCCACTTTCTTCACCAAAATATCACAAGAACAATCTCTAGGCAACATACTAAAATTCTTCTCTTCTGAAACCTTGAGCCTGCTCTTGCAGTTCAAATCCCCCTCAGCACCACTGTCTTCCATGCTTCTACTAGGCGGGCCCATTAGGCAGCACGTAAAGCATTCAACTGTTTTTCTAACCCAAAATACCAAAATCCAAATTCCTCCAACAAAAACATGGTCAGTCCTATCACAGCGATAGCCTAGTCCCTGGTACCAACTTCTGTATCAGTCAGGGTTTCTATTTCTGTAAAGAGATATCATGGCCACAGCAACTCTTATAAAGGAAAACATTTAATTGTGGTGGCTTTCTTACAGTTTAGAGGTTTAGTCCATTATTACCATGGTGACATGCTGGCAGACATGGTGCTAGAGAAGTAGCTGGGAATCCTACATCTTGCAGGCAACAGGAAGTGGTCTGTCTCACTGGGTATAGCTTGAGCAGACGACACCTCAAACCCGATCTTGCTGTGACATACTTTCTCCAACAAAGACATCCCTATTCCACCAAGGCCATACCTCTTAAGAGTGCTGCTCCCTTTGGGAGCCATTTTCTTTCAATCTACCGCACAAGGTCTCACATAAACATTCTGACAGAGACTAAATCACATGGCAGTCTTTCTGTCCTTCAAGGTCTTGGAGAAGGCTTACTAAGCAAGGAGGAGGTTGTTGGAGAAGTGTCAAGTTTTTGTATATTCAAGGGCACTGCCCAGCCCATGTGACTATCTTCTATTTTTCTTTTCCCTGGCTCCCAGAGACCCCTACCACAGCACAAACATGAATCCACCTACCCACTCATCCATGCACCTATGCAAACATCTATGTGTCCATCTGCCCATGTATCTATTCACCTACTAATTAATCTCACCCCCACATATGCATGCATTGACCCATCCACCCACCCATCCATTCACTCTTCCATCCATCCACTTATGTATCCATCCACCTCATTCATCCATCCTTCTGTGTATCCGTTCATTCAGAGTTCACAAATAAAGCCCTCAAAGTGAGAATTCTGTAAATGCCAACTGCTAACTCTTATGTAGCATTGCTACTCTGACAGCCGTCAGTTCTTAGGACACAAATGGAATGTGTTTATGCGGTGGGCATATAAACATACATTATATGTGTTCAACTAAACCCTAGTACAGGCTTCTTGTGCTGTTCCCTCTTACTCATGCCAACACTCAGGTTGTGACAATTGGCAGCTCCTAGATCGTCACATTCCTGGGGTCCTGCTAACTGTTGACGCTGCCGCAGCAGGCCTGTCATCAGGTCTGAAATCCCTAACAACCTGGCTGTCACTGTCACCCACTGCTGCAGCTGTGATGTCCTCTGTCCATCAGCCACCTTGAGCAGCAAGGGCCTAGGGCAGTGGCTCTCAACCTTCCTGATGCTATGGCCCTTTAATACAGTTCTTCATGTCGCGGTGACCCCTAACAATAGAATGATTTTCATTGCTACTTCCTAACTGTAATTTTGCTACTATTATGAATCATAATGCAAATATCCGATATGCAACCCCCAAAGGCGCCACGACCCACAGGTTAAGAAGCTGGGAAGTGGCAGGACACAGGTCTGTTCTGGACTTCAAGTTCAGGGGTCCTTTATTTGTCAGCCACTTCCACAAGTCTTGAGCTCCGGTATCCAGTGTTTGTACCGAGGACACGCACATGCAAATGGGGTCTAGATGGATTCCTCGACCCATTCACTAAGCATTTATTGAGAAATGGGGGAAACAGAAGGGCCTATGGCCCACAGGCTCGCGGCCTGGTCTGAGGTGCACGCTGGGTCACTGCAGGCTGCTCAGGAGTCTTGTGTCTATATTTTTCACGTATTAGATAGTTATACAAATTATAAGTCGGTCAAGAACATCCCATTGTACCTAAAATCAACCATGGCCAGAAATAACCTCGGACCTTTGCACCCGAATTGCGCACTGCAACCTCCAAGTCTGGACTTTCTCGTTTCATCAGGTCCGTCGCCATCCTATGACGGTGGTGAGGCCGCCTTCGGTGGTCTCTAGGCATATTTCCTGTCGAAAGTGTCACTAGCCCAGAGTGCACTTTGCCCACCTGATAAAGGTTAGGAAACCCCGGGCATGTAAGCCAGAGCTTGATAGTCTTCCTAACCGTCTAAAAAGATGGACACCAGAGGGCGCCGTGGGACCACACTTTCTGTCAAAAAGGGGTCGGGCTGGCGTCCATCACAAGCAGGTTTTGATTTAAGGCCCTATTGCCCGGTGGGTTTGAATCAGCTACAGCAGACACACCCACCGCCCACCTTTCTTCCCAAGCGATGAGATGCTTCACCTTTCAGAGTACCTGATGACGCATCCGTTTGATTTCATGCTCGTAGAGATCTTGTTGTACCGTGAAAAGGAAAAAGGGAGTGGATATGTCCTGAGAGACTCGCCCCGTGCAATGGTTACGCTGCTCTGTGCCGTGGGGCAGGCTCTTCCCGAACCTTCGCTGGCTGCCCACTGATTGCAGATGGTGGAGGTATTACAGCTGGAGTTGTCAGTAAAATCTGCCTGAGCACCTTGCTTCTGCAGGGAATCCTTTAGTGGGCCCAGCAGCGTGAACTCCGTTCTCTTCGCAGGCGCCTGAGCTAGCTGTGTGTGCGCTCGGCTGACCTGCCTGCCCTTCTGGACCTGGCATCTGTTAGGTTCGATTAACACAGCCACACCAGAATGTGGCGATGAAGTAGCTGGTGCCGACTCCTTGAAGCAGGGAAGGACCTGGAGTGAGGGCAACTCTTGGGCAGGGTGTGCCTTCTCTGACCCTCAGATATCCGTCTATCAAAAAACGAATCGGACTAGAGATGTGGCTCCGTTGGTAGAGCGTTTGCTTAGTACGTATGAAGCCCGAGGTTTTATTCCCAGTACTGTGCAAAACCAGCTATTGTAGTTCACGTATGGAAACCTAGCAGTTAGGAGGTGGAGGCAGGAGGATCAGAGGTTTATGGTTATTGTTGGTGACATGAGCCCTTGCCTCAATTTTTCTTTTTAAGTGAGGGTTGGACAAGATGGATCTAGGGCTACTTTTACATCTAAATCAGTCCGTGCTGGTGGGGGCGTTTTGAGGACTGGTGACAATGGGGGCACTATTCTTAGGCTGAGATTTTTTTCATGCTTCTCATTTGGCCAGAGATGTTCCTTGCAGAGGAACATCACATGCCTTGGATAAGATTGTTGAAAAAAAAAAAAGATGCAAAGCCCAGGTGAGGTGACACACACCTTTCACCCCAACCCTCAGCCCTCAGGAGGCAGAGGCAGGTGGGTCTCTGTGATTTCAGGGTCAGACCGGTTCACATAGTGAGTTTCAGGCTGTGGACTGAGAAATGAGGAAGCATGGGAACTTACTGTTGTAGAAAACAAAGGATTTACTGTTGGCCCTGCAGGCAGGAGCCACTGTGACCCATCTGTCCCCACCATATGGTATTGTGCTGGCCAAGGATAGGTGTTCAACATGTGACTGGATGGATGGATGGATGGATGGATGGATGGATGGTTGGTTGGTTGGATAGATGGGTGGGTGGGTGGATGGATGGTTGATGGATGGATGGATGGATAGATGGGTAGATGGATGGATGGGTGGATGGATGGATGGTTGGATGGATGGATGGATGGATGGGTGGATGGATGGATAGGTGGGTGGATGGATGGATGGTCGGTGGATGGGTGGGTGGGTGGATGGATGGGTGGGTGGATGGGTGGGTGGATGGATGGTTGGATGG